CTCTTGGCTGTGGGAAAGGGGCAGAGCTGGGCCCACCTCAGATGCACTAGGATTCTGAAATTAGCAAGAGAAAGGAGAGGTCAGAGACAAGAAAGAGTAGTTATAGAATATATATATATATATTTAACAAAAAAATATATATATAAAGAAAAATTTCTAGAGAAAGTGAGAGAGACAGAGACAGAAAGAAGACAGAGATCAGCCTACCTTGCTTTGCAGGGACTTGGGCTGGAAGGAGAGCTTTGGGGGCAGAGGCTTGAGTTTTCCAGTTAAAGGGGCAGAGCTGGGCCCATCTCAGATGCACGTGGATTCTCACTTCACTAGAAGTTGGGCTGGAAGGAGAGCTCAGTAATTTTCTTTTTTGAGGGAGATTTTTGCTATCGAGTGCATGTGCTTCATGGAGAGACAGGAGACAGAAAATGAGAAATCACCCTCCAGGGGGGATAGCCATACTGTAATCCCTTCTCCTCTCTGGATATTGGGCACGCACACACATATGCCCAGCATGAGTTTTAAGTCACCCAGTTCAGGACTCAAACCACAGTCAATTATGTGGGAATCCAACGTCATAACCATTATGCCATCTGCTGGTCCCAAGTAACTAATTTTTGATATGTCCATTGACAAGAAAACAGATTTAAATGAAGTTACGGGGAAAAAAAGGATTATCCCTTTGGTTTTAATAATTGTTATGGTAAAGTGTATCATCTTTTGCCCACTTAATTAACAATTTAAAACATAATAATATCCTGTGTGGAGAGAAATAGTCTCATATGCTTCTGATGGCATTGTGACAACAATCCTTTTTAAGGGCAGTTTTTAAAACTCTTCTAGGGCTATAAAATGATTCATCATCTTTGATTTGTTTATTCTACTTTTAGGAATTGCTCCTAAAGACTTTGTGGCATGAAACAATAATAAATATTAAAGCATTATTTTGCGTAGTGAAAACCATCAGGACCTAGAGTTTACCAGCAGAATAATGGTTTACCTGATATATAACTATTAAACAAGGGTAAATAAAGACCAAGTAGCATTACATAAAAATGTAAATATAAGAAGTATGTTAAGTTTTAAATTATCATTTTGTTTTAATTACAGTTATTTAAAGTAAGGAATCATGTTAAATTGTTTTAGAGTAATGCGGTTATATATATTTTTTTCCCTTCCTTGCTACTTGAAAACTTTCTGGTGTTTTTTTTTTTTTGAAAACTTTTTGGTTTTTTTTTTTTTTTTTTTTTTATCTTGAGATACATATTTATTTTAATATATGTGCGGATTGGGTTTTCTTTTTCAAATTTTACTTTGCACTTGTCTCCCCCAAATCTCAATCCCTCTCCTAACTCTTTAAACCTTAGGCAGAAATAAAACGTCTTCAGGAAGCCAATAAAGCAGCTCGGAAGGAAAGACAACTGATTCTTAAACAGCAGGAGGAGATAGAAAGGATCCGACTGACCACCATGAAACTACAGGAGAAGTTGAAGTCTGCAGGGGAGAATAAAATGGTGAGTGATCTGCAGTTATTACTAGTTTTCTTTCTGTCTCGAGTTGCCTGTAATACCTAACCCTGCCTTGTGTTCTTGTTCTAATGGCATGAGTGTGTTTATTCAGGAAGGATGATGCAAGAGTGAGCAGGACGAAGTGCTGCATGTGTGCCTTCTATGTATGATAGAGTTTTTATTTTTTAAATTTTTTCATGAAATATTCAAATTTGAAAAGGGTACAGGAGAGCCAGCCCTTGGTCTGGTAGTTAAGATAGCTGGATCTTAAATGGCCAACAATGTGGTTCAAGTACCAGACCCAGCGTCTTGAAAAAGTACTGGATGCATCTCTGTGCATGCCCAGAGTCGTGAAAGGAGGGAGAAATGGAGAAGGGATTGTAGTGTGGCCACGCTCCATGCAAGGGTGCTTTCTCACTCCGCCCTACCTCTGTGTCTGGCAACTGTACACACACTCTGGGAAATTAAAAAAAAAAAAAAAGAAACAAAGAAGAAAAGGGCATGCCGTTCTTATTTTAGTTTAAAATGCTTTTCACTTACAAATTAAATTGGCACAGAGAACTTTGTTCTTGCTTATCAATCCAAATATATTCCTCAAAACTAACAGAAGCCATTTTGTTTTTTGTAAGATTCTTATTTCAGCTAACTTATTTCAATATAGTGATACAAAACTCAGAGGAGATACTCAGACAAAAACCAAATTTGAACCTATTTTGGGGTAGTGTAAAGTATCAGTTTAGTTTTGGAAAATCCAGATTGCATAGCATCATAATTTTAAAAATTCCTAATATTGGGACCAGTAGTTGGTGTGATGGCTATATTGCTGGACTCCCGTGTAGTCAACTGTGGTTCAAGTCCCAGACCTGGTGACTTAAACGCAAGCTGGGCACATGTGTGTGCATGCGCAAGATCCCAAGAGGGGAATGGAGAAGAAGGGGTTGCAGTGTGGGCACACCCCAGGGAGAGTGATGTGTTGCTTTCTCTATCTCTGTCTTTCCAGCAAGCACACATTTCCTAAAGCAAAAACCTCTCAAAAAAAAATGTCCTAATATTCACTGCTTTAATTATTTATTTTTAAGTTTTCTGTGAGGCATATGGTTTGCTTAAGAGAAAGAAGAAAGTGAGAAATCACCCCCCTAGGGGATGGCCATGTTGCAGTCCCTTCTCCTCCATTCTCCTCTTGAGATTTTGGACATGTACACACGCACACATGCATGGCATATTTTTCAGGCTGCCTGATCCAGGACTCAAACTGCACAGTCAGCCATATGGGATCCAGCTGCCTTAACCTCCGTGCCACCAACTGGCTCCTCTGTTTTGATTTTTAAACCACATTAATATGCCCTTAGCCATGATTTCACTTCCAGAGGTTACAGTTAACCTGTGGTCAACTACAGTTCAAAAACATTGGGTCATTGAAAAGGTCATGATGTATTTTTTCTATGCGGAAATGCATCTTGACCTTTCTGACAACCCATTATTACCGATTTGTGAAAAATTCCAGAAATAAACAATTTAGAAATTCTAAAGTTAGTGCCGTTCTGAGTGGCATGATGAACTCACCCCGTCCTTCTTTGAACTGCCCAAGATGTGCATTCATGTGTTGAACCTCTTCCATGTGGACGTCCTGATTGCCCTGACTGGGCTCTAACTCCCAGACGGGCTCCTCTTCGCTCATGGTCCCATTTGGGTTCTGACATCCCACTCTTGGCCCCCGTCTCCCTTCATTCCCCGCATGGAAACCTGCCTTGTTCTGCTTCATCTAATGACTTTAGGACTGAATTATTGGGGAAGAGGAGAGGGAGGAAGAAGGGCTCTGTTTTGTTTATACTTTTCACAAACCAACAACAGTCATGACTGTCCTCGCCTGTCTTTCTGAAAAATTATGAGAATAAATTACTATTTGTAGGGAAGACATGCTAAGCAATTAAAGTTCTACTTTTGTTCATCAGAAATAACATACTAATTAAACCAATGTTTCCTAAATATCTTAATTATAAACATTGTTTTTAATTGCCAGGGCGTGTGGGCCCTTGTTGGGGTAGGGAGAAGGAAGAAGTATTGCCCAGTGGAGCGTAGTCATACTGCAATACCTTCTCCTCCATTTCTACCTTCTGGCAGGATTCTGGGCGTGAACGTATGCACGATTGGTATGGTTTTCAAGCTGCTGGGGCCAAGCTCCAACTGTGGTTGGCTATGTGGGATTTAGCTTGCTTAACCATTGAGCTACGGGGCTGGCCCCATTATAAACTTTTTAAAGTTGTGAAAATATTGTTTTCCAGAAGGAATATTTAAACAATGAAAATCATTCCTCAAATGATTAAAATAAGTTTTATGCTTTGTATTCATTCTTTGTGTCTGTAGATACATATTTTATAAGGTTATATAAAGTGTCTACTTTATATCCTTTTGAGTGGTTCTACTTAAAAAGTGACAGTAAAGGGGCTGGCTTATAGCATGGTGATTAAGGTGCTGGACTCCCACACGGCCGACCATGATTCGAGTCTTGGACCTGGCAGCTTGCTCTCACACTTTCTCTCTCTCTCCCATCAAAATTAAAAAATAATAATAACAAATAAAAGTAAACAAATAAATATTTTTCAAATGACAGTAAAAATTTTTAAATGAAAATGATGACATTTAGCATTTTAACCATTTTTAAACATGTGGTATATTTTTGTACCTTAACCAGTATCTTGATTGCTACTGTTATTAATGAATTGTTTGAGATAAACTTAATTTTGAATTTACAGTACTTAATATCCCTTCAAAAGATCCTATCAAAGTCTGAAAAAATTCTAATCCTTTTGTTTTGCAGGACTCTCATAGTGATGAGGATACAAAGGATGATAAGGCAACTAGTCCTGGCCCCACGGACTTGGAGACCCGCAGTCCTTCTCCCATTTCAATCTCCAGCAGTGAGACTAGCAGCATCATGCAGAAACTGAAGAAAATGAGAAGCCGCATGGATGAGAAGTAATTCATTTCTATAAATATCCCCTGTCTGGTCCCATTAGAAATAGTAGTAACCAATAATATTTTTAATATACTTCACTAGACTAGATTAAGAAAAGAAAATACTTATGACTTCAGTAGCATCTTAGCAGAATTATTCGATCAGTCTTGGAGTCAGTTAACTATAGGTCTTATTTATAAAACAATTTTCCTCATTTTAATACAAATAGGTTAAGAAAAAACAAGTAGTACTTACACATGTACTCATGACTGTGTTTTGTTATTTTCTTTTTCCTCCTTTCTTTTGTATAAGAAAGGACATTTCTACCAAGCCATGGCACATCCTGACATCTCATCTGCCAGCTCTCAGGCTTATTTACTTAGAAAAGTGAAGTTTGAGCCTTGCTATTAGGTATGAGTTGTTCACCTGAGACCAGGAAGGCTGAAACTCTCCTGGGATATCGAGTGCTTTGGCAGTTTAACATACTTCTTAAACATTTCTAACAATTATTTTTTGAAGATTCTTTTAAAGAAAGCTGCTTCTGCTTAGAGGGAGGTCAGTTGTGACCTGTAGAGTGGGCCAACATCAGCTTTGACCATATCTAATGATATTTATGTGAGACTTTACTCTTTTGGATGTACATTTAATTGTAGGTTGTAAATTAGCTGCTTGAGGATTGTATTCTTGCTTCTGTAATATCTACCCCATCTAGCTTCCTTGAACTAATTAAGTGTATAAAAGAGATCCTTTAGAAAGTTTTGTTGACTGCCATTTTAAGTTAGCATTTTGAACCACAGACCAAATTTAAATTGTGTCTTGATACCCTTTGGCAGTGTACTACACATCATAAAATTTAATAATGCACAGTATTTACATGAGTCACCAGCCTATGATTGAATAGTTTTGGAACAGTCAAGTAACTGTAAGTGAAATCACTATTTCCTATTGGTGCAGTTACACATTGGCTCTTTATTGCAAGAGACAAGAAAGCCATTTTTTAACTTAGAAATACCTGTATTGATTATGAAACTAAGTCTTAAAAAATAGATACAAATTTATTTTTGGATTTTGCTACAAGGCACATGTGCTCCATGGAGAGAGAAAGACGGGGGAGGCGAGAAAGCACCTAAAGAGGGAATGGACATGCCTAGTCCCTTCTCCTCCATTCTCCTCTTGGGATTTTGGGCACTCATGCACACATGCCCAGCCTAAGTTTCAGGCCGCTGGGTCTGGGACTCAAACTACATTTGGCCATGTGGGAATCCAGCGCCTTAACCATTTTTTTCTGCTGACCCCTCAGGTACTCTTCATAGATTGAAGCAATGAATTTGTGTTTGTGGTAGGACTGGGGTAAAGGCAGAACTGGCAAAGAAATATTTAGATGCTGGTGCTGAATTAAAAAATGACCCAAAGTATTCTCCTAAATAGTGGTGTAGTACTATATATTCCTGTTACTAGGAATACATATTATGTGTTTTTTTTTTTTTTAATTCCTGGAAGAAATTGATAATGTGAGAAAGGCTTTTGAATACCATTTATATTATGAAAGCTTTACAATGAGCTCTTCAGTGATGTTACTATGTCACCTTCATAAGTGAAGAATTGACTCTGTCATTTGCTATAGTGGACATCTGAAAGCAAAATCATCTGAACTTTTGTTGCTTTGTGACCAGGCACTATTAATTGTTCTATAGATGTGCAAAAGCAGTCAGTCCTATTCTATTGATTAGTTGCCAAGGGAGCATACACACTCATCAGAGACAGAGAGAGGAAAGGGGAAAAAGCGCCCCCTAATGGAGTACAGTCGCACCACAGTCCCTTCTCCCTCTCTCTGTCCTGTCAGGATTTGGGGCACACATGTACGTATACTTGGCATATTTTTCAGATCTGGGGCTGAGATTCAAACCGCAGTCAGCCGTGTGGGATCCAGCTTCTCTTAACCTAGACTGCTGGGCTCTCTCTGAGCTGACATTTATAAATAACTTTCATTTCTCAGTGTACTGGAAAGACGTGTGTGGAAAAGACATGAAGTAGAAATAAGCCACAGGCTTTGTAGCTCTCAGTCCTTTGGTTTTACTAGTAAACAAAGTCTTAGTTTTGTTTATTGTTCTGAGAAGTATTACTTACTATATGTTGGGATTGCCTATACTCATGAAACATGGGTGGAAAAACACCATGTAAGTGACTCTTACTGTTATTTTGCCAATTGCATTTCAGGAAAATTGTTTACTGAGCAAATGAAACACTTAAAGATGGTGTTATGTCATCTGTAAGTGTTGTATTACTTAAAATAGGATACAATGGGAGCCAGCAGGTGGCGTGGTAGTTAATGTGCTGGACTCCCACTTGGCCAACTGTGGTTTGAGTTCCAGACCTGGCAAATGGCTTTCTCGCTCTGTCTCTGTCGCTCTGGAAAGCACACATCCCTCATAGCAAATTTTAAAAATAATAATAATAAAATTAAGTCTTTTTTTAAAAAGGATACAGTACCTTTTTTTATTTGTTCATTATAGCTTATTCTTCTATATTAATTATTATTTATTTAGTTTACACTTATTTCCTTAGTAATTTATTGAGTAATATGTGAATATGTTAGGATCTGAGGGATATGAAGATCAACAAACATAAACCCTGTTCTCATAAAACTTGTAGTCTAGATGGAAAAAAGGAATGGCAGATTCATTTAGAAAAGTGTGTATAGATCAACTGTTAAAGAAGTTCAGAAAATAAATAAACTTTTACAGGCAGGAGTATGATCAAGGAGATTTTGATGGATCAGTGTTTTGAGTTAAATATGTTTTTTTAGTTAGTAAATATTTTCTAGCATAAGAAGAAGCAAAAAGAGAAAAAACAATTTTCTTGGTTGGTTGATCATTAATCGCAGATCAAGGTAGCATGGAAGAGCAAAGTTTATAGTTACGATGCATCTTAAATATTCCTTTTACATTTTCCGCTTTGTTTAGAAATCCATTAAAGGAGCAAAATTAACTTATTTGGGTTTAAATAATTAATCAGAAAGTTAAGCAGATACATATTTTATGACTTTTGCTCTGTCTAAAAGTATTTATGGTATTGTCTGATCAATATTGAAATCTTCACCATTAATCTACTGAGTTTAAAAAGTTAAAGTTGGAACCAGCAGTTGGCATAATGGCTATGTTGCTGGACACCCATGTAGTCAACCGCAGTTCAAATCCCGGGCCCGACTCATGTAGCTTAAACTCATGCCAGGTGCATGTGTGTGCGTGCCCAAGATCCCGAGAGGAGAATGAAGGAGAAGGGATTGCAGCGTGGCAATACCCCCTCGGGGGTGATTTCTCGCTGTCTGTCTCTCTGTCTCTGTCTTTCTGGTAAGCGCACATGCCCTATAGCATAAACCGCTCCCCCCCCCAAAAAAAAGTGAAAGATTTTTATCAGCAGGTGATGTGGAAGTTAAGGCATTGGATTCCACATGTCTGACCCCACAGTTGCTGAACCCAGCAGCCTGAAAATCACGCCGAGTATGTGTGCATGCAAGCCTAAAATCCCAAGAGGAGAAGGAATTGGTCACGCCGCAATCCCCCAGGAGATTGACTTCTTACTTTCTTTCTCTCTTCATTTACTCTGTGTTTCTCTATTGAGCATACTTTTTGCCCTGTAGCAAAAAGCAAAAAGATTTAAGAGTTTCAAGAGGAGGATTTTGATTTTCTCAGAAGAGTTTCTAGTCTAAGTTTAGTAGCTGAATACATCCTAATAGGCTGATACAGTGTTTTTATTTTTTGTACTTCCTAGATAAGGAATAATATACTGTATTATTTTGTTTATTTACATATGTACAAATTACTAGACATTTTAAAGTAATTGAATAGGTTTTGCTATAGAAAAATAAAACTAAACTACATTTTTTTTTTAGGCCAGTACTATCTATATTTTCATTTATCCTCCTGTCTGAATATTGTTAACTATACATAAGGGCATAAAAGAATTAGTCCTTCTTTAAAAAAAAAAAAGGAAAGAAAGAAAAAGATGTATTTATTTGTTTAATTTAATTTGTTATTATTATTTATTTTTTAATTTGACCAGAGAGAGAAAGAAGAAGAGAGAAAGCAAGCTACCAGTTCTGGGACTTGAACCACAATTGACCATGTGGGAGTCCAGCACCTTAACTACCACACCTGCTGGCCCCTACAATTAACCTTTTTTTAAATTCTGGAGAAGTTTTTGCTATAGGGCACATGCACTCGCCAGAAAGACAGAGAGAGACAGAGAGACAGAAAGCAAGAAATCACCCCCCCCCCAGGGATGGCTTCACTACAACCTCTTCTTCTCCATTCTCCTCTTGGGATCTTGAGCACAAAAGCACATGTACCCGTGGGAACCAGCAGTTAGCGTAATGTCTATGTCGCTGGGCTCCCACGTAGTCGACCGCGGTTCGAGTCCCGGACCCAGTGGCTTAAAACTCACGCCGGGCGCGTGTGCGTGCGTGCCCAAGATCCTGAGAGGAGAACAGAGGAGAAGGGATTGCGGCGTGACCATCCCCCCTGGGGGGTGATTTCTCACTTTCTGTCTCTATGTCTCTCTCTGTCTGTCTGGCGAGCGCACGTGCCCCTACAGCGAAAATCTCTCAAAAAAAAAAAGCACATGTACCCGGCATGAGTTTAAACTACCGAGTCTAGGACTCAAACTGCAGTCGACTACATGGGAGTCCAGCAACATAGCCATTATGCCAACTGCTGGTCCCAAAGTATTCACTTTTTAAAATGCACTGTGTTCCATTTTTAACTTGCAATAATAAAGAATTAAAGGGTTTTAGATCCAGATGAGGTTTCAAAATGATTTAAGACATTAAGTTTTTGTTTGTTTGTTTTAATATCTTCCAGAATTAAAGGATTTGAAATTTTGAAATTTCATTTTTATTTAGATTATGGTTTTTTCCTTCAAATTATGGTATGATTTTATAATCTGTTAGAACACAATCCACAATTACATTAGTTTAGGGGGAACATTCTTATTTGTGTTACTTGAGTATGTTGAAGTATAAAAAAAAAGTACTTGCATGGTGAAAGAATCAAAGTGTTAGAACTAGAAAAGTTCTTAAGGAAGTCATATTGTCTTTGTTTTGCATGAAGAAATTGAGGCCCACAGAGATTTTGTGACTTGCTTGAGATCATACACACAATGGCAGAGCTGGAATTAAAACTCCAGTTTTTGGGCTTTAGCCAGCTAAAGTGAAACTGATTTATAAGTTAATGTATCTGCTCTTAGCCTTGTAATTTTCAAAAATAAGACAGTGGTGACTTAAAGTTATCTTCAGTATGAACTGATCTTTCTAAATAGTATTACATTTGTTGAACCGGGGGAGGTGCTAGATGGCTGATTACTGGAGTTGAATAGCTGCACAGCCTGAGTTTAAAGGGTGAAAGTGTGACTTTAAATGCAAGTTAATTATTTGGGATTTTCTTAAATGCAAATATTACAGAAACACCTGATTTCCATAGTAGATTAAATATATACTGGTGCAGGCTTCTGTTATGTCAGAGGCCTTGGGGGGGGGTACCTTACCATCAGCCGTAAGGATGTCAGTAACATTGTTTTTAGTGTACACATTTATTTCTCCATCAGTCACACAGTTTGTTTCTTGTGTGTGCAGGATCTTGAAGGATTGTTAGCTCTAGTGGGGAGTAGTGCTCTTTTATCTCAGCTTTACTCAGCTTTTCAAGGGTACTCTTTCTATAGTACATTTATATTAAATAAGGAATGGATGTTTCTGGAAAGAAGTTGTAACTTTAAGATAAAGTTAAACTTACATAATCTCTTAGACTATTTCATTTTCTATTAGCCATTTCTATTATTGTTCATTTCTAAACTAGGCCTTTTGAATATGCTTGATCTTTACAAATGAAAAATAAATGTTGGTTCCTGTTCTAATAGAGAAAATTACTTTTCTCTATATTGGGCTAGACAAAAAATTCTAATTGTATATATTATGTTTTATTTCACATGTTCCAATGCTATTTTACTTTTTGTACTAGGTCATGCATGCATTTAGCAGTTACACAGTTAAGAGGGTGGGTGATATTTGAATGCTAGAAGTAGATTTTAACCTTTTGCCAAGTACATTTGTTTTTTAATAATATTTTGATAATTGGCATCAAAATAAGTTTATTGTATCTTCATAAAGAATGGCAAGGAAGATTGCAGTGCTTACTGAAATTTGGAAAAAGGTTTTACCTTGAACTTCAGTGCAGAAAATCAAGGCAATCCAGATATGAGTGTATGTGTGTGTGTGTTTAAGTAAATAAAGAAGAGATAAAATATTGAGTTAAATGTGGAGAAACATTGAAGTAGTCTGTTATTTAAAGATACATGTAGGCAATATTTTATATATATTAATACTTTGAAAATCCCAATGAGTGGCTGGATTTACACCTAGATTTTCTCACTTCTATGACATACTGATATTATTCCTTGCCCTTCCAAGGCAATAAATGTTGCCTTGACCCATAAGTTATTGTTGTGTGCATGTGAACAGGAGCATGCTCTGTCAAAGAGAATTAACCTTTCCAAACTATTACAAGACTTATTTATCTTTGTATAAATGCATATATAATATAAATATAAAATGGTCTGCTTACTACTAGAAAAGAAAACTTAGTTTTGTTCTTTCTATTTTATAACTTTAACATAAGGGATTTTCTCCTTACCCAGAACCATGTTTGAGCTCTCCATAGCATTTTTTTAAGTGACAATATTTATTGAGACTTGCTCACTTTATTCTTAATTATGCATTTGGATATTTTATAGACTGGATATTGTATTTGAATATTACTATGTAAGTGGGCCTTTTTTAACTATAAAGCAAGATACTCCAGTAGGTCTGTCTCATTAGCGGTAAGTTCTAGAGGTGCACAGTATAAGCAGTATGTTGTAGAGGTGAACAAGGTTTATTTCTATAACTTGATTTAGTAAATTATGTTATTTTCAACCTAGATTGAAATGGCACAGTTAAATAAGGCAGATCTAGTGATTTTTTTTAAAATTTAATTTCAAACTTAAAATATTCGTGCTTGGGATTACATGTGTGTAGTTTGTGATATACAAGATTTCTGGTCATAATTGTTATACTCTATGCTAAAGCTTATTTGAAAATTTCTTTAGCCCCACCCTGTACTCATTCCTTTACTCACAAACAAGTAAATTTAACTGAAAATAAAAGCGATGGTTAAGCAACATTGAGAGGAAGGCCATGTGTATTGAGAAACCACTGGTAAGATCTGTGAAAATATATTTTTTATGTCACAGAGTGTAACACTTGCTCTAACTGAGTAGCCTATAATGTTATTCAGGAAGCAGATGAAAAGTTCTCTCAGCTCTCTGCTTTCCCTTTCTCATTCTTTCTGCCACTTGATCTCTTGATTTTGAAATCTTCCTCCTTATTTTGTAGACACTGCTCTCCTGTTCACTACTTCTTCTCTGTCTTTACGTCTCATCACTGGGCCTCTCTCAGTGTCTGTTTTCCCAACCTTCATCCCAAATTCCAGCTGTATATCTACAACCAGTTGGTCAGGTAACTGCACCTTTTTCAGTGCACTCTTTGATAGAGCATGCTCTGTTCTTTTTTTATTTGTTTTGTTTGCTTTTTCTCTCTCTCTCTTTTTTTTTTTTTTTCCTTTAAACAGCCTGGAGGCCTCTGGTCAATTGTCCCATACCTTTTGTTTCCACATTAATTTGAGATGATTTTTCAAGAAGTGGAGTGACGTTCTTCTTGTACTTTTCATTAAGTGTCTGTTGGATGAGTGGATACATTTTTGTTGGCTAGCTACCACTGTAGATCTAACACCAGTAACGTAAGCAGCCCACTTTTATTTAGCTGTGGCGTCTACACTGAAGAGCGCTTATTATTAGGCTCCAGACTAATTAAATGGTTTTTCAAAACTCAGTACTTTCTCGTAACCCTTTGGGCCTAAGATATGATTGGCTATTAAGCTCAGAGGCTAGGCTAATGTGAGAGATTTGAGGCATTTGATATATTTACTCAAGCAAATAAATAGTTATGTTTGTATGGATAAGTCACCCTACTGAGCAGAATTCCCTTCATGAAAAAAAGATGATCACCAGACATTGAATTTCTTAGATAATGGGAGCCAAATTCACTAGACCTGAAGCAAAGTCAACATTTGAAAATTAAAAGACAAAAAGGGGCATGAACCTGTTTTTCGTTTGCTTGATCATTTTGAGATTTGGGGGTTTGTTTTTTGTTGTTGTTTTGGTCTTTGTTATTTTGGGTTTTGTGTGTTTTCTGGTCTGAGCCTATAGAATAATTCCTTACATCTTCTGTTACTAAAAAGAATGACCTGTGGAAAACCGATATATAAAATAAGTATTAACGTTATGAATCATGTTTGTCCAGATAGTCTGAAGATTATTTTCTGCATTTACCACTATTTTTCCCTTGCTAATCTTACAGATCATTGTAAGTGAAACATAAATTCTCTCATATTCTGAATAAGTTGACAAAGGTATTATCTCAGACTTTTTCCAGAGAGAGGAGTAGCTGCTTTTGTGCAGCCGATTGATGAGGTAGTAAGTGATAGGCTTCTCAAGCTGATTCTACGTGTAGGTTTGTTTCTGATTATTGCCCATGGTGTGACCTTAGGTTTCTGACAAAACGAGAACAAAAGCTGATGCAGCGGCGGCAACACGCAGAGGAGCTCCTAGAGTGGAAGCGACGTTTAGATGCAGAAGAGGCAGAAATTCGACAAATGGAAAAACAAGCTTTGGCTGCCTGGGACAAAGAATTAATAAAGCCCAAAACTCCTAAGAAAGAACTGGAGGACCAGAGAACAGAACAGAAAGGTAGTAAGTACCAACTCTTCAGGCTACAAACCAAAGCTTTACATCACGAACCATTTATTTCGTTGCTGTTAAAAATGCACATGATTGAGGGAGAAGAAGATGATATAACTACAAATACTGCAAATATTAGAAAGATAAGAAAATATCGTGAATGGGGCATGGTGATTAAGGCACTGGACTCCCACATGGCCAACCACAGTTTGAGTCCTGGATTTGGTGTTTCTCTCTCTCTCTCTCTCTCTCGTGAGTACATGTGTCTTGTAGCAAATTAAAAAATAATAATGATGATAAGCAAAGTTAAATAAATAATTCTTTAAAAAATCATGAATAACTTTATACCAATACAAACTTAAATACTAGCAAGAAATAGATAAATTTTTCCAAAATAAAAATCTTACCCATGCTTACTCAGTAAAAAAGAGAACTTCCCTACTTTTTTGACCATTAAATACATTGTACCATAATATTTAAACATCTTTTTATAAAAATCTTCTCTAGCTTGAGTAGTATATTAGACATTCAAAAGGAAAAAAAACCTAGTCTTATCATTCTTAATTTTTCCATAGGATTGAAAAAGAGAGTTATTTCTCAGCTCATTTTATGAAGCTAGTATCTAACACGGTCTTAAATCTCTAAAAAAGATAGCACCAACATGGAAAAGGCCAATCTTATTTTTTTTTTATCTAATTTAATTTTATTTTGTCGGAGGACACCTGCACTTGCCAGAGAGATGGGGAGGGGAGTAGAAGGCACCCCTCAGTGGGGCATGGCCACGCTGCAGTCCCTTCTCCATTTCTTTATCCTGTTGAAATTTTAGGCATGATGAATACACATGGCACCAAATGTGTTTTTCAGGCCTCTGGAGCTGGAATTCAAACCATACAGTTGGCCATGTGAGATCTGCCTCCCTTAACCACCACACGGCAGGATTGGCCCAAAAAGGCCAAACTTACCTATCCTAAATAAAATATGTCCAACCATTCATGCAAATCTAGTACTTCATAGCCAGGTGGGGTTCAGCCAACATTTAAAAATTGATAACAGGGCCAGCAGGCAGTGTGATGGGGAAAGTGTTAGATTCCCACACTGCCAACCACAGTTTGAGTCTTGGACCTGGCAGCTTAGCTTGAAAATCATTACAGGAGCATGTGCATGCATGCCCCAAATCCCAAGGAGAAAGAAGGAGAAGGGATTACAGTGTGGCCATCCCCTCCAGGGGTAATTTCACACTTTTCCTTTGTCTATCTCTATCTGTCAATCTCCTGTGCCCTGTTTGGGGTGGGGGGAGGGACTGATAATGTAGTGAATTACTCTAATCAGATTAAAGGAGAAAATTACATGATCATATCAGGGGATGTGATAAAATTTAAAAAGGGTTTGTGATAAAATAAAGTTCAGATCAGAGTAGACAGAGAGGCCAGCTGTGGTGGCACAGTGGTGACACAGTGCTTCACAATGCTGTAGCAACATGGGAAGGTACTGTGTTCATGTCCCGAAGTTTTCCTGTGTACACCACGCTTGTGGTTTAGACCAGCTGAGGCTGGGAGCAGGATCACGGCCAGAAGGCCCTGTGGGATGGCCTGTTTGTGCCTGTCTCTCTTCCTCCCTTCCATTCTTTTCTTGTCTCCCTCTCTCATGGAAGAAATACGTTTTAAAAATAAATAAACTTCTAAGTTTATTTACAGAAGAGAATATACTTGATTTTAAAAGTACATATTAACAAAAACAAAAAATTCGAAGCCATACAGGTATCAAACATAACAATAAAATATAGAAAAGTTTTATTTTAAATTTGGATATAGTGTAAAGCTGTTTATTTTACCTCTTCTATATAGCCTTGTGTAAAATTCCTAAACATTGATCAGCAAAGATTGTTTAGAAAAATCTGATGTTAAAAATGTATATAAATTGGGACAGCAGATGGTGTAATGGTTACATCACTGGTCTGCCACATGGTCAACTGCAGTTCGAGTCCTGGACTGGCGGCTTAAAACTCCAGCCTGGCACGTATGCATGCCCAAAATCCAGAGAGAATGGAGGAGCAGGGATTGTGGCATGGCCATCCTCCTTTACTTTCTGTCACTCTATTTCTCTCTGTTCCGTGTGTGCACACACCTTATTGCAAAAATCTCTGTCTAAATAAATAAATAAATAAAATATAAATAAATAGGGCCAATGGGTGGCATGGTGATTAAGGCACTGGACTTCTCCTGCATGACTGGCTGGTTTGAGCCCCAGGCCCAGCAACTTGAAAATCTTGCTGGCGCCTATGTGTTCATGGCCAAAATCCCAAGAGGAGAGTGGAAGAGAAGGGATTGTGTTGCAGCCATCCCCCTTGAGGGTGATTTCTCACTTTCCCTTTTTCTGTCTCTGGCAAGTGCATATTTCTATGACAAAAACCTAAAAAAACAAACACACACACACACATAAAAGTAAAAACATAATAGAAACAGAAATGCAAAGTATACAGGGATAATTCTAACAAATAGTGTATAAGATCTTTAAGGACAAAATTGTAGAATTTTATTGAAGGACATTAAAGAAGACCAAAATAAAAGAAATGTTGTTCCATACAGTTAGAGTTAGATGTTAATTCTGGGGGCCAGCGGGTAACGAGGTGGTTAAGGTGCTGGACCCCCACATGGCTGACTACGATTTGAGTCCCAGACCTACTGGCTTGGTTTCTCACTCCCTCTCTCACTCACTGTCTGGTGAGTGTGCATACCCTATAGCAAATTTTAAAAATAATAATAGTAGTAAAATTAAATAAATAATTCTTTTTAAACACTTTTTAGAAAGAGAGGGTTCTTGCTCTGCTGTCATCCTCCTGTCTTGGCCTTCCGAGTAGCTTAGGCTGCAACTGTGTACTGCCACACTTCACTCTTTCAGACAAGGCCTTGCTCTTTTGCCATGAGGATGTGTTTTTTTGTTAGTTTTTTTACAGTGCTGAAAATTGGCCAATATTGTCTAAAAGTGTCCCAATAGTACCAGCCTTCTCTTGGCATGTAACTCTAATTTCAAAAGTCAGGGATACATTTAGGACAGCTATTATTAAAACAAACGAACAGACAAAAACAAGATAAAAAGTGTTGGTGAGGATGCAGAGAAATCGGAACACTTGTGCATTGTTAGTGGAAATGTAAAATAGGTGCTGCTTCTATGGAAACAATATATCAGTCCTCTAAGAAATTAGAAATAATTTGTGATCCAGCAGTTCCATTTCTGGTTGTATAATCTAAAGAATTAAAAGCATTATCTCAAACGGATATTTGTACACCCATGTTTATAGCATCATTGTTTACAGTAGGCAAAAGGTGAAAGCAACCCCACTGATAAATGAATGGATAAATAAAATGTGGTAAATACATATAATGGAGTATTATTCACCCAGAAAAAGGAAAGAGTTTTTTTTAATAATTATTTTATTTAACTTTATTTATTTTAATTTGTCCAGAGAAGGACAGAGTGAGAGAAATTGAGAAAGCAAACCTCCACGTCTGGCACTTGAACCACCTTCAACCATGTGGGATCCTAGCGCACTTCACCCTATTACCTGCCGGCCCAAAAAAGGAAGGAATTTCTCACATGTGCTCTAATATGGATGAAACTTGAAGAGCTCATGCTACGTGAAATAAGCTAGTCTCAAAAGAGGAAATGCTGTATTAGTCCACTTATATGAGGTACCTAGAGTGGTACAGTTTATAGAGAAGGAAGTAGAATGGGAGCTGCCAAGGGAGAGGGAAATAGAGAGTTACTAGTTAATGCAAGAATTTTGGCTTGTCATGTCAGCTTTGTTTATTAATAATAGTAAAACATGGGACCAGCATATGGCATAATGGTTACATTGCTGGATTCCCATGTAGCCAACCGCAATTTGAGTCCCAGACCTGGCAACTTAAAACTGACACTGGTCACGTGTGTGTGCATGCCCAAGATCCCAAGAGGCACATGGGGGAGAAGGGATTGCGGCGTTGCCATCCCCCTCGGGGGGTGATTTCTCACTTTCTGTCTCCCTGTCTTCTGGCGACCACATGTACCCTATAGCAAAAAATCTCTCTTTAATAATAATAGTAATAGTAAAACATTATTTAGGGTCTAGATATTAGTATTGGTCAGAATTCTCCAGAGAGACAAACCAGCAAGATAATATATATTTATAAAAGAAGAGTTTTTTTTGTAGGAATTACTTCACAGAATCACAAAGCAGGGTAATCTCATAATGGGCTGCCCAAAAGCTGGAAAAAAAAGAGACTGAAGCAGGGAAGCCCAGTGGTGTAGCTCCAGTCTGAGGCCTGAAGAATTTTCTCTGGAGACTCTGAAGCAAGGAAGCTGTACAGTTCCAGTCCAAGGCTGAAGGGGGTCCACAGGCAGCCCCTGGTATGAGTCCAGGGTCCAAAGGCTAAAGAACTTGGAGTCTGGCTGGCTGGAGGGGTGTGGGAGTCAAGAGGTGGCAGGAGCAAGTGCAGGCAAAGGCTGAGTTAAGGAGCAGGCAGATGTGTAGGAGCAGAACACAAGCATGCTCTGGAAGGAAGGGGACAGAGAGGAAGAGGGGAGGGAGGGGGAAAACCAATCCACTACTTCCTCTGTTTGTCCTACTGCTTCAGCCAATTGGATGATGCTTGCCCTCATTGAAAGTGGGTCTTCTCAGCCCACTAATTCACATGCCAGTCTTGTCTGGTGAGGTGCCCACTCGCATTGAAGATAGATATTTCTGCTCATTGACTCACAGGCCAGTCTTGTCTGGCAGTACTCTCTCACTTACACACCCAGGCACCAGCCTCTAGGCATCCTTCAATACAGTAATGCTGACACTCAAAATTAACCACCACAGAATTTATGTTAAATTAAAAAAAATTTGTTGGAGGGTTATTAATATTTGCTGGAGGGTACATGCGCTTGCCAAAGGGGGAGAGAGAGGAAGCACCTCTCAATGGAGCATGATCACAGCTGGAACCCTTTCTCCATTTCTCCCTCCTGTTGGGATTTTGGGCATGCACACACATGTGCCCAGTGTGTCTTTAAGCCACTGGGGCTAGGATTCAGACTGCTTGGTTGCTGTGTAATTTGTGACTCCCACAACCATCAAGCCATGGGGCTGGCCCAAAGAAATTTTACAGATTTCAAATCCAGAAGGTTATTACTTACAGTCTTTAAGTAACTATTTTAAATTTCAGACACATCAAATGTTAGCAGTTTTTACCCAGTGCTTGGTATTATAACCCAGTTCTTTTGTAGCATTATACCTACAAAGAAAGAACTTTGTACATCTTTAAAATTATGCAAGTATTAATGTCAGAACTTTTCTGTTTAGTGTCAAACATAATCTGTTTTCTTAGTAAAGAACAAAGGCCAAAATAAACAGGAAATTCCAAAGATAAAATAGTGCTACAAATTCCGACACTGCTAAATAAAATGCATAGTATATCTCCGTTGATGCACGATCTCTAGTTCATTCAGTGTTAGTTGCTATATGGCATTTAATGATCTAAATATACTATCATTTGTTCATTTTACTATCAGTCAATATTTAGGTTTCTTCCTGTTTTTGACTGTTAATTCTGCCAATGAACAGATACATGTTTCTTGCTGCATGTAGGCAGGATTTCTCTACGATGTATACCTCGGAATGGAATTGCTAGATCATGGAGTGTGTTTTTGGTTTTTCCAAGTAATACCAAATTGTTTTCCAAAGTACTGGGTTTTTGGAAAAGTCGTGACGCTTTTTTGCCTAGAAAAAAAAAGAAAAATTTGTCATGACTTTTCCGACAACCCAGTAGTTGGAATTTCCACTCTTAAAGGAATGTCTGAGAGTCATACTTGGCTCTGCATCGTCACAAACATAGATCATCACTGCTGATTATATATGTTGGTATCTTCTCTCAGTTGGCATCAGCCAGAATTCTTAGACTAACAGAACTTATAGTAAATAGGAGGTGACTTGATAAAGAAATTTTATCTAAATGCAGCTAGTGATAACTATGCTAGAAGCAAATATAAATCCTAACAGTTTAATTTTCCTATTGACCAAGATCGTGTTTTTTTTTTTTTCTTGTCTTTACCTGCTCTATCTAGAAATAATAAGTGAAGAGGAGTCTCCAATACCATCCTTCTCTCACCTAAACAGTGAAAGCTCTATTCCAGAGGAACTAGGCAGCCCGGCTGTTGACTATGGACCTTCCGAGTCTCTAGTGCAGGAGCAGCCAGGTAGTCTAGATCACAGTGTACTAACTGAAGAAATGGTTTGCTCACAGGAACTAGAATCTTCTACCTCTCCGGGGAAACATGTAAGTTAATGTATATTTGTTTCTTAAAGTTTCTTCAGGAGATTAAAAAAAAAATCCTTAAGGCGTATTATTAACAACTATACTATTGCTATTAATAACAGCATTGACTGTCACCCTTACTTGTAACATGCAGAATGTAAACTTATGAATGTAAGTAAGGCTTTTCATTGACTTCTATAAATGTACGATTCAATGAATTACATACAGCCTTAGCGGAAATTATGGAATTATGTACTATCAAGTCTACTAATAATGAGATGGGAACTTCTAAAGTCTTTAATAACGAGATTTGAGATTTGTGAAAATAAAATAGATTCTTTCTGAAATCTTTATTTTGTCATGCAGCAGAAACAATAAGACCGTAAGCCATATCAGAGTACCGTTACTATAATATAGTTAATAACTGCTTTGTAACTCATAACCAGAATAAGAGTAATGTTTCATCTTTTTAAGGCAGGCCTGAAAAAGTCATAGGATTTTCTATATTGTCCTTAATTCTATACTTCATGGAAAACAAATTACCAATAGCTGGTAAAAACTCAAGATGGAAACTTCACTTTTTTTAACTTGATTTTGTAAAATATATCAAGGAATTAGCAAAACATTATTAAATATTTAGTGAACATAGATATTGTTATAGCTTTTTTTCAATTTTATTAGTTTTTTAATTGACATATAATAGTTGTGCATATTAATGGAGTATAGCATGATTTTTCAATATATGAACATGATGTGTAATGATCACATCAGGGCAGCATATCATCCTAAACATTTATCATTCCTTTATGCTATGAACATCCAACATCCTCTTTTCCAGCTATTTTGAAGTATAGATTAAATTGATATGAACTATAGACACTCTATAGTACTCTATAACTAATGCCTCTTATCTGCCTGCAATTGGTTAAAACTGTGTTTTATTTTAATTTCTTGTATACATTCATTCAATCACTATACATCACTTTATAAGCTAAGTTATAGCTTCTTTGTATTTAAAAAGACATCTACCTAAATTTAGAGTGGAATATTTTTTGTTAGAATCCTCATTTATATTGTGGATATGAAGACTTAGCTGCATTTTCCCTATTAAAAAGTCAATCAGGGCCGGCAGGTGGCGTGGTGGTTAAGGGTGCCGAATTCCCACATGGCACACCACGGTTTGAATCCCGGACCTGGTGGCTTGCTTTCTTACTTTACCTTTCTCTCTCTCTCTGATCAAATTAAAAAGTAATAATAACAAATGTAATTAAGTAAATAAAAATTTAAAAAGTCAATCAGATGTGTTACCAGAAAGATTGGAAGAAAAATCATTTTTTGCTCAATTGAGAGCTTACGCTATGTTGAAAATATTTGATGTCCTTGTGCACATATCTGAAGACAGTGTTTTAGATTACAAAGGCTTCTAATAATCACGTTAGTGATTTCTTATTTGTTATAATAGGCTTGTTGTGCAGAGAATTTACTTGTAGCATAATTCTTACCTTCTAAATACCAAACTGTGTATTTTGATACAATCTTACTAGTTTATTAGTTTCCTATAAATTGATTAGATTCTACCTGGCATCTTTATTAAAGTTCAGGATAGCTACAAAGTGATTGAGTACTAAATTCATTTTTTTCCTCATAATAAAATATATCAAGGAAATCAAAACTAGTGTGTCTTAGGTGGTTTTTATAATAAAAGCTAAAATTATTGAATGCTTTTTCACCAAGTGCCAGTTAGTGTGGCTGACTGTGTACTGTGGGTTATCTGACTTAATCTTCACAGCAATCCTATAAAATAGATACTGTTCAAATCCACTCAAGAGTAACAGGCTAGGCAACTCACCGGAATAGGAAGTGCTGGTAGCTAAGGATCAGTTCAGACATCCTCACTTCCTCTACATGTCAAGGTGGAAATTTTGCCTTTTGTAATATTCTTTTCTGGGCAGTTTTCTTAGGCTCTATTTTCTTCCTCCCTCCCTAAACCCTTTGCTATGTACTATCAAAGTAGTACATATTTAAAATATTTTAAATTAAATGAAGAAGTGACACAATAGCTACTCTGAAATTATTATAAACATTTTTATAAGCATGATCTTTTATAACTTTTTCTTCTGTGTTTTAAAAAAAAATTGAAGTTTTATCCTTTATGTAATTTCTAAGCCTTTTTTTTTTAGTTTTTATGTCATAGAATTATTTAGAACTCTTTGTCACTATTAACTCTGATTGGCTGATATCTCAAAATTCAATGACAGTTTTACAACTGTATCACAGAATAGTTTCCATTTGTTTTTCTGTTTGAGCAGTCACCTCCCAGAAGCTGCCCATCTGTGTCAAAGCAGGACTCTAGCAAAGGAAGCCATAGGACAGGAGGACAGGGTCATCTGCCTATCAAGTCTCATCAGCACTGTTACAGTTGGTCCGATGAGTCACTATCTATGACACAGTCAGGTAAGACTAATTATAAGGAGTTTGTTTTCTTTGTACTGTATTTGAATTCTTCTTTAATAACTTTCGTCTAACCATATGCTACTACACTGTTACCCTCTGTGCATACCTAAAGGCTTTTTTTTTTCTTGCCAAGATTAAATCATGTAATTCTTGTTTTCATTGATAATTATATCCCTTATTTCATAAAACGTGACAAGCTGTTATATTCACATGTGTTAATGAGCATTTATTCATCAAACACTCGCTGAATTTGTTCTGTGTGTTAGACACTGCCTGTGTTTTCTCAGAACACTCTGTACTCAGCTTGTCATAGCACACAGCACCTACTGTAAGTGCACTTTGCCCAGCAGTCTCTCCTACCGGACTGCAAACTCCTGGAGAGGACGGTCTCTTAACTGTTTCCTTAACTGTTGTTGCACCAATATCTAGCAGGCACTTTGCATTGCATGTGGTAGGAGTTTATTAAACGATTCTTGGATGAATCAGTGATAACCATAAGGAGAGATAGGAGGTGGTAGAACAGAATAGCATAAGTCCCAAAGAAGGAAAAGTAGAGTCGTAATAGATTGCAAATGGCATAGGGGAATATTGTCTGTTTTCCTATAACCTCCACCCTACCGTAAATCTGTAGTTTCTAGTTTATGAAATAATGAGCAGCCTCTGCTCTAAAGACTTGCAGGAGTCTTTTGACCTTTGGAAAGCATGTATAGACAGACAGTGATCCGTTTATGTAGGTTTGGGAAGACGATTAATACCATGTGAGTATTGCCGTGTGAGTATACTGAGTAGGCATATTGAGTATATTGTCCTTTGAGCTCATTTTTAATTTTCTTTTAAATGTAGACATTTAGTAAAGGAAACATACTAAGTTATCCTTTTTTTTGCCTTTGATCCTGTACCATACTCCTTCGTTTCCAACAATAGTAAAGCATGAAATTTTGCCATGTCTACACTCATAAATTTCCTTTATTCTGAGTAATTGCAGAATATGTTGAAGGGTAAATGTACCATAATTTATTTAACTGTTTTCCTAGTAGGTCATTTAGATTTTCTCCATTGTCTTCATAATCACAAATAATGCTGTAATGAACATACACACACATACACTAAATCTGAGAGAGAGAGGGAGTGAGAGAATGAAGAGACTTCAAAAAGTTTATGGTGGGCCCGCAGATGGCATAGAGGTTAAAGTGGTTTGATCCCATATGGCTGGCTGTGTGGTTAGAGCCCCAGACCTGGCAACTTGAAAAACACATTTGTACACATGCCCAAAATCAAGAGAGAAGTGGAGGAGAAGGAATTGAGGTGTGGCCATCTTCCTGAGAGGTACTTTCTCATTTTACCTCTTTCTGTCTCTGTCTCTGTCAGGTACATGTGCCCTGCTAGAGACAACAACAGAAAAGGTTATGGAAAATTGCATGGTATGAAAAAACTTTGCACGGATTTCAAGATTTTTTTTTTTGCTAAAATAAACACATACATTAATTCCATTTCCCATGAACGTTTAAAAATCCCTATATGTATATTATATAAAATTTCTTATATACATAAAGATTAAAACAATTCTTGTTGAATATTTCAGTAGGGAATAGATTCTTAGAATAATTAGGGCAAGCCAGTTGAAGAATGTTGTCTTTCATATATATCTTTGGAAACTTACTAATTTAAAAATACATACTAGGCTTTTATATACTCTGGTGAAAAGATACTTCCAGCGGAGTTAACATGTTAGTCAACTAACTAAATAAATACTGATATAATACTGGACGTGGGTTCTTATTCTAGATCTCTTTACTAGTGACTTTCTTCAAGTTTCTTTCTCTCATTGGATTATCTTTTCGCACCTTTAGCGATGGGATACAGTCTTAATCATCCTTGCATGAGTTACTCACCAAGGATTAATAATGATATTTGTAAGAACTGTTTTCTTGTTAAAATTTATTTGATAACCATAAATAGTTTAAGAAAAATGGCTCTGCGATTTCCGAATTATAGATGCAGTCTATGATGATGGTGGCATCATTACGTACAGGATTGGTGAAGGTGGTATGTTTTAATGTAGCTGAATTATACAATATAATACCTTGCTGAAGTGATGGGGAGAGTTTCTTTCAACTAAGCTGATATAGTCAGCACATATCAAATAATCAGAAACTTAATGTTTCCACTCAAGTCATTTTGTCTGTCAGTTTATTTTAATCTCATTGTGTTTCAGCAAACTGAAGTATCATTTTCCTGCCACTTCCCATCTTCTCCACTTTTCAGACAATCCCAGAGAATTCCATAAAAGCAGTGTGTTCATCTAGAGAACTGCTTGGGTTAAAACAAAATTTTTTTTTAGAGATTCTCTTAGATGTTGCTGGTGATATACTCTATTAAGTATTATTGGGTTTAAACAGATACAGGGCCAGCAGGTGGAATGGAGGTTAAGGCAGCTGGAGCCCACGTGACCTACTGCACGGTTTGAGTCTTGGACCCAGCGGCTTGAAAAACATTCCAGGCTTGAAAAACATATGGCATACATTCCCAAAATCCTGAGGGGCAAATGGAAGAGAAGAGATTACAGCATGGCCATCCCCCAGGGGTGCGATTTCTCGCTTTCCCTC